GAAGCATGGTTACAAGGGAAGGTATTTCTCTTCTCTTAGTACTAGCAGGAGGAATGAGGAGATCTGGATAAAATACCAGCATCATGTTGAAATTTCTGTCAAATATTCCAGTGATTTCAGCAGATATGAGTCAATTTATTTTCAAGACTTCAACATATCATCAACCTAACTGTTCCAAACACAGATTTTTTGGGGTAAAAAAAAAAGAGTAGTGATGACAAGAGATATAAATAAAAGAAAGTACAAAATAAACTATGCGTAAATCACTATGCACTTAACAATGAAATATAGCAAGATGGATTTTTCAGTAAATGAATGCACTAGCTCATACTCTGCAGCATCTGTGCGAGCCAAATCATGCTGTATCTAAATCGGATGCCTAACAACTTGTGTGGCTAGGCAAACAAGCCATATGCATGTGTACCATGTGAATTTGTAATTAATTCATGCTCCTCAGTAAAGCTGAGTCCTTCATGAAATCCAGCACCTGCGGAAGTTCCTGCTTCAACCTGAAAAATCTTAGCAGTGGAATCAGAGGCCTGAAAATCTATATGCAACTAATATTAAATGAAATCTAACATTTAAGTTGTAGTCAAGAAATCATCTAACAATTAACACTCCTTGACTGGCATCTGAAGACTGCAGGGAAGCAAATGTGGCTTTAATCGCATGTCAAAGGGATGAGGAGTGGAGAGGAATCTAGGGAATGACAACTCTGACATCTGTGCCAGATAGATTAGCTCAGACTGTGGTACTGGATAGAGTTAGTGGACATCTGGACAAAAACAGGCAAGTGATAAAAGGTCAACCTAGTTTCTGAGATGGAAATTCTATCTAATAAGCCTCTAGGGGCATTTTGGTGAGATCAGCTAAGTGATGTCAGTGACATTGTCCCTTTGGTTTTCCAACAGTGTTATCACAAAGAGTTTTTGGAAACTAAGTAACCAGGAGACAAGAGGTAAGGCCCTAATCCACCCAAATAATTGGCTAAATGATAGAAAACTACAGGTGGAAGTAAATGGTCATTTTCCTCAGTGGAGGGAAGTGATCAATGGAGCTTGTGCCAATCCTTTGCTTGTGCTGGTAATCTGTGCCAAGTCTGGGTTGTTTGATGTGTTCCTAAATTATTTGGATATGAGAAATAAAATACGGGTTTTTTTATATATAGGCGTGTCGCAAAGCTGTGAGATATCCAAGTTCCAAACTGGACCTGGGTATCAGAGTCTTTTTCGGCCGGATAAGGGAAATATATAAGTTCTTAAAAATCAAAATCTTTTGGAGCCATGTAGAAATTCTGTACACAGAGCTTTCTTTTCTCTCTTTGGGCTAAGAACAAAGGAAGATCCATTGTTTTTTGACAGGGGACACCTCACAACTAATTGGAAGGAAGGGAAAGATCTTTTTCAGAGAAAAGAAACCTTTTTAGGCAAAAATTAATATATTAAACTTATCTGAAAAAGGGTGGGATTTTGTGAAACTATAAGACGTATGAAAATTAGACCCAAAGGTTTTTCTCCCTGAAAAACTCGGTGTGAGACTAGACCCAGTGCGCTGAATAAATTCTTTCTTTTGTTTCATGAGTTTTTGCTGTCTTTCTAAATTCAAGGGAGAGATATTTCTCACATGGAGAGGGAAGGGAGCCTTGAGTCAGTATTTGTTGGTGAAACAGAGTTGTTCAAGGTATTGAAATGAAGGTAGACTGTTAGGAATTGCAAGAGAATCTAATGAAAGTGACTGGCAATAAAAAAACAGATCAAATTTTTGGAGGTAAATTATCTAATTGGTGAATCAAACTGTTTACATCACCGTGTGAAGTGGTGCATATGCAGAGGGGGAGGACCCCCAATTTGTGTGTATGGTGACAGGCTCTGAGCAGAAAGGTCCATAGGAAGAGCAGCTCCATCCACAGAGACAATCAAAAATCAATTAAATATTGAGACCTATTGGGAAATGAAGAGAGTGTGAAACAGGAACCCCAATGCCACTGCCAGGGAGGGGTCCCAGCTCACCCCTGTGCAACTTTGAGCCCCTCTCTGCAAACAACACAACCGAAGGTATTCATACAAGCAATGACTGGGTTGGTTAGGACTGTTAAGCCTCAAGAAGATATCATTTAGGAGGATGCAAGAAAGATATAGAAAGTTGTGGGTGTCATGGGGGAGATGGCTAAGAATCAACAACTCACTGTCTCTTCTGCTGCAAACCCTAGGGCCGTGCAACCACTGTTTAGTGGAGCCATCAAGACAGAAGCAACAGAGCTGATCACTTCTCTTTGTCTACTGCTAACTCACATGCAAATATATTGGGTGTCAAGACTCATTTGTTCAAGGGGATTCTTGACAGTTTTGCCCATCTGGGTTGAAATACAGCTGTAGGGTCCAGCTTTGGGCTTGCCGGTGGCAGCAGGGCAGAGTTTGCAGGGCTGCCCCAGCTCCATCCTGCCTGGAGCATGGAAACAGGAGTGCTTATTATTAACAGCCTGCTGAAATGTCTGCCCAGTGGCAAATAAAAGACCAGACGCCATTAGTTCCTGTCGTAGTAGTGCCAAAAGAAAAAGATTGTAAAGAGAGAACGTGTTTTTCCATGCCAATTGAACAATTTCCAACTATCATTAAAATGTTTCTATCATGTAATTATTGCAATCTTTTTACCATAGAGAAGCATTAAGTATGTTTTGCAAGGCGAAGTTTTATTTTTTCTCTTCACAAGTTCATAATAACTCCATCTTTTTAAATACCGAATAGGTAATTTTACAATAGTAATTTTACTCTTAAATAGCTGGTATTCCATGCATTTGAGTTTTCCTACTTTTGAGAGAAGATAGTAATATAGATTTTGGCACCTTCCTGTTTAACCTAGTTATGCAAAAACGAGGGAGGTACATCTCAGACATGTCAGACATGTGCAGGTCCATTTTTTGTGGTGGTTGCTGAGCTTGAACATAGTCGTGGAATGACGACCTTCTTATTTAGAGCAGGAACATATCTGATGAATGGAGGGCTACATCTTCTGGACCCTTTTGTCCACGTACATCATCCATGAGGAGCAGAAGTTGAAGGGGATTGGCTGAACTGTGCACACAGCTCATGTGGCTCATGTGACCAAGGGTGGAAGGCAGTTTGGACTGGTGACATAGCAGTCTGCTATGTCACCAAGGCTACTGGCAACATTTCAGTACTCATCAATGGTGAGCATCCCCTCCCTGATGGCTTTGGGGATGGGGAAAGCAGTTCTATGCCTCTCTCTCAGCTGCTATAGCCTTGCTGACTGCTCTCCTCCAAAGGATGCTCATTCCAGCACTGCCACTCACCCTGTGTTCTTAGGAATCACTTTTTGTTCTCTTGTTTTTCCCCCCATGCATAAATCTTGTCAGCTTCAACCTAATTGCATCCTTTTCCGACAGACTGTCTCAAGAGCAATGCAAATGAGCTTTGAAATGTGGAGATCTGGTTTATATTTGTCAGTTAATTGCCTGAGTGGCACAGACATCTAGAGCTGGCACCTGCCTCCTTGTGTTAACTTCCATCTTTGATTTCAGACTCCATGCTGCATTTAGAAGACAAGCTCCCGATGGAGGAGGATGTGCTCTTTGGGCACTATCTTGCTTTAGGTGACAGTGATCTAAATTCCTCAGACTGAGTCTGTTTTACACTGCAAATTCTGATCACAGAGGTTGTGGTCCAATGCAAAACAGCATGTTCACTTCTATGTGAGCTGACCCAGTCTTCACTCAGTGAAGCCCCAGCCTTCTTGTTCATCTGCCTGTCCATGTTGTGTGACCATATGGATCTGTGGTGCGCATGAGCGGACTTGCTTCTCCCTGAGATTTGACTCTGGAGTGCTTATGGACATGAACAGGACACATTCCTTAGTAGTTTGTCCGATTCTGAACACAGACGCTGGAAATAATAGGACATTTTGTTCTTTTTCAACATCTTTAGTTTAAGAAATTTCCTCACACTTAAACATTAAGTCGTGAAATTCAGCCTGTATTTCTTTCGCACCTCATTTCATCCCCTTGTCCAAATTTCTTCATTCAAATCCATGTCAGCTTTACCCAAACTCCCAGCAGTGCACAGATGAAGCTAGTCAAGTACAGAGCTGGCTCTCATACCAAATGTCTGAAATCAACCTTGTTTTCTTTCCCACACACTTCTGTCTTTTTTGCTCTCTCTCACTCTTTTTTTTTTTAAACAACAAGATGGCAATCAGCTATACAACAACATATTTTCTGAGAAAACCAGTCTATTGGGCTGTGTAAGATTTGACTTCCCTCCAGATAAGCCTTACTGCTCCTGCTGCCTCTGCCAGGGTCTCCTGCAGCAGCAGATCAAATTAACTGAGTACCCTGCAAAATACTCCACTACAAACAATGCATGCTTGAAACTACACCACGGCCCTAGTCATAGCTCTGACAGTTTCTAGTTCATCCCAATGCAGAACACAACGAACACACACTGGAAAGGTTTGATGTCTTCCACTGACACAAATGTCATGGTATCTCCATGCTGCATGACAGGTACATTAGAAATGCATAGACCAATTTATCTGTGCTGCAACAGGAATCCAGGGTGGATGACTTCAAGGCTGGAAGCATCAGCCAGCATAGGTCTGCACAGCAAAAACTTCACTGTCTCTGTGGTTCAGTTTTCCAAACACTGAAGAAACTGAAGATACACTGATTCATAGCAGCTCTGAGGTTTTGTCCCAGACCATTCATCATCTTTTTCATGGAAGCAACAGGCAAGGGTTGTTAGGACAGAGCAGAAAGACCAGGCAGTCAAATACATGTGCATGTACATGTGTGGGATCAAGAGCTTAAATCTCTGTGAAACCTGGAGGAGGGATAAAATTGACATCTTGCATCTGCTGCTAGGGAGCTGGGACCATCAGGCAGGAACTGTAACAGTCTGTGCAAGGAGAAAGCACTGGAAGTGATGTGGTTTCACGAAGAATTTGCTTTTCTTTAAAAATCCATTGAAGCCTACGAAATGCAAAGACAAGTCTTACTTCAAGAAATGGAATCACAAAGGCACAGGGAGGAGGGAAGTGTATTCAGGGGAATATCACCATGCTTGCCCTGTTTTCATATTCTTTATGGACTCTTAGTTGGTCACATAAGTCCTTATTCTTGTTTTGCTGGTGGGGAAATGCAGCTAGTTAGTGTTAAGGCTTGAAATCATCCCACAGCTGGATTTGAAGCTGTGTGGGTTATCCAGCTCTTAGAAATGGTTTGCACTTTTACACAGAAGAAACCGATGGCATTACAAACTCCTATGCTGCGGGCTGGTGTCTGTTCGCTTCTCCCAGGAGCAGTACGCTGATCTTTGCTCTTGACAGACAGCTCCGTCTTTCTCCGTTGAGACAAACTTATCCTGTCTGTATCTCCACCAGAGTGAGCTGAATAACATCAGGGTTGAATGTGGGTCTTGCAGATTTTCACACTGTTGCCTTTGGCAGCACTGCGGTATGCAAACACGGCTGAGGTTCAATATTGGCAGTTCTTTGTATTTGTTGCAGAGAATAAATGAGGTGGAGGCCTATATTTTCCCTATATTCAAGCTCATATTTTTTCATAGCATATAATTAACAAAATGATCTGATTAATCAGAAAGGGGAATTTTTAAAATCAGCCTTACGATTCTGCACTTTCACTGCTTACTAACAAACTAATACATGCTGCCCCAGGGTATTTCCCGCAGAATAACAACCAGATGGGTTATTTTGCTTCAAGCTGTTAACCTGAGCGGATTACTAAAAGCCTGGAAAAGGCTTATATACTTCTGCCCTTTATTGATGTAGAAAAAGTTCCACAGAATATCTTTCTCATATTTGCCCTTAGCACTTTTCCAGAAGTACAAGGTTGATCAGCTTCTTTTGATACAGAAACAATTTTTAAACATTTAGTCATATATATCTGAAGTGTTTGCTAATATGTGGTTTCTATTTTTAGTGCCTTAATGAACAATTTTTGGGGCTCATTTCCATTGAGGCTGATCATTTGCAGTGCTCAGTATTGAGTTATGGCATCCCATTTTATATCCTGCTTCTGCCCATGCTAAAAGCCTAATTTGGATCTGCAGATTACGCCCTGGGAATAGACACTGAAACTTCAGCATTGCAGAGCTGGAGATGGTGACATCTAAAGTCCTTTTTGGATCAGTTCCCAAGAAACTACCCACATAAATTTGTGTTGGTCTGCCTTGTAACTTGCCTTTGCAGTTCCTACTACATTGCTTTCTGTTATGCTAGCTACCCCAGGCACATTAAAAAATACACCAAGTTTGCCTCTGAGTCTAATAATCCTCATATCAGTTTTATTTGTTGCACAGAGGAGAGGCTATAATAAACATAAAACAAAGAAATGAGGAAATCGTCATTACAGAGTGCTTTTACTAATATCTTGTACTAATAAACACAGTTGTCTATTTGGAAAGATGCCTTCAATCTGTTGATTGATTTTATATTAGCAGTGCTGTGAATGTTGGCGTCTCTGCTTTTGTAAGACAAGCAGCGGAAAGAGGGCTGCCTCACAGGAGAGCTATGGAAAATTAGCTTGGTCTTTTCTGTAAACACTGTTTTATGCCCATCAGCTGGAAGATTATTCGGAGTAATTGAGAGGGCTCATTGCCTCAGCCTTTCCGTTTACTTCTGTCAGGCCAAATTCTGTTCCTGCCTGAATCGGTTGGAATCTTCTTGCTGACTTCAGTAACACTAGAATATGGACAAAAGCCTTCAGGTGATGAGTTGTGATGGGTCACTGACAACCTCATGGTCACCGTGGACAGAATGTACCCCTAAATGCAGGCTTCCTGCAGCAGTACCCAGGCAAGCTCCATGGAAGGTTCACAGCCTGCACCTGTCCTGTTGGGTGGGGAAAACCCAGCCGGCTGCAGTTGCATTCTCCGTACAATAACATTGGAACCCACCGATTTGCTCACCCACATAAGGAAAATAGGAATGTTTTCAATTTTACTGATTGTTTTTTAAATCTAATCAGATTTCACTCTTGAAATGAGATAATGAGGTAGCTCTGGCAACCACTGAGTGTGAGGAACAGGGCAGGGCTGTTTTCTGAGTGCTGCTGTGTACCACCAAGTGCCCGTCCCTTTCATCAGGCAGCTCTGAGACCCTCTTCCTCAAAGAAGACAGAGTCCTTGCTTTAGTTATGGCACTTGTCAAAGCCTCCTCTTCCTCACAGCTCTTGGCCAATTTCATTGGGCTGCTTTCAATATACTTTAATACCTCTTTGCTTTAGAGCACGTGTATGCTGGTGCTGTGGGGAGTAAGCAGCAGCATCCCAGGAAATGAGATTGCCCAGTGAGGACAGAGACTGCTCAAGATTATGCTCTCAAGCTGTGGTAGCTCATATCAAGAAGGACCACACACTTTTGCTATCTCTTACCTCTGAGGAAAAATGTTGGTTGACCGTAGATCTTACATTATCACTTTATCGTGTTCATAGTCATAGTTCAGAGCTGTAAAGAAAAGCAAAGATACAGTGTCTCTTGAACTTCAGAAGCCAGTTGATAAGCAAGAGATTCAGCAAATATATGGTCATACAAACAAATACAAGGACAAGTGTTTGTTTGGGAGATCCTTGTTCCCCTGGCTCAGGATTTTCATAATTTACACTTATATGTGGCTTGGGCACAGAGGGCATGGGGAGGAGGGGCTTGTTCTGCATCTGCAGCAGAGTTGCTACAGGCCTCTGTGCGGTGGTGCCTCTAACTGGGCTGTTCTGACATGCCACCACAGCTCGACTCGCTCTATGTTAGTGAGCACTCACATTGCGGGTGGGAAGCCCAGTTGGATGCAGTGTTCTCTCTCTTGTATTTACCTATCCAGACTCCCTTAAAAAGTGGGAATAAGCAGTATTATTTCCTGTTCCTGTAATTTTTTTCTGTTACTTGGATCTGGCAAATGTTATTGCAACCTGGTATAAGAGATTTATCTTAGTGAGTTGGCCAGGTTTGTTGAAACCATTACCCACTGTGTGCTACATATATGGAACAGCAGATCAGGGCTGAGACCTATGGTTATAGCCCCTCAAAACCTTTTTCATTGTCCTAAAGTTTTATTCAAAAAACCTAGAAATGTGGAGGGGGAACAGCTTTCCCTGCACAATGATACCTGATCTCAATTTGTCCATCTGAAGCTTCTGTAAGGATTCCTCCGGTGCCACCAACACTGCAGACTCACTCTTGCACCCCAACCTACAGGGACAAAGTTCACTTTGGTGTGTTCAGACCCACAGATAAATCTGTTCCTGGATACTACCAGCCAAGGGGAGGTGCGTGCTTCCATTCAGTGCATGCTCCACTGCAGCATCTGCTCCTACAGAAATAGAGCTCTTCAGAATCCTTTGCCTAAATAGTATTTCTGCAGCTGGATTTCATTATGCTTAATTCTTCTTTCCTTGATGAACATTGACTGTTGCAAGTTCTCCTTCTGAAATCCCTAATGCCCAGTGGCAGATAAAAAATCACAGCCTTCCTAAACTTTGATCATATTCAAATATTTCTATCATTTATTTGTTCTACCATGAGAAATTTGCAGGAAGAATACAACATCAGCTTTAAGCATTTGCAATACTTTTTTCAAATTTATTTTACAAGCGTGAGTGCTGCACTTGTGCCTAGAGAGGGACTGAAAATCCTGAGGATCCAATGGAGCATCCATATTGCAGCAGTGCCAGACTGCAAAGATCAGGGCCTCTTGTTGCACGTACAGTCCAAAATCCTTGAGAGAGACAGCAAGAGCCCAAAGACCACATGGTTTAGATCGGGTAGCTACAATACAGCAGGTGGAAAAGGGCAGCAAGGAGGGAAAATAAAATGCTGGTTTCATGTGCTCACTGACAACACCAGGGACAGACCTATGTGTCCTGATGCCTTTTTAGTAGCACTGCCCAGGAGATCTCAGCACCACAGATTTGCCATGATATCCACTTCCCCGTGAAAGCTCCTCACTATTCTGCTCAGGCTTCCTGGGGAAAAAAAGCTGCAATTAGGGCAAAAAGGGCTCCCTTGGTGCTCTCCAAGGGGGATTCAGTAGCAACAGATGCACCCCACTCAGATGGGTACTGCAGCAATATGGAGGTATTTGGTAGAGGGGCTTTGGAAGCAGGATTTCCTCACTTTGCAGGAGCAAGGGAGATAGTGTGAAATTTAGGTGCCAGCATATAGCCTGCTAGCTGTTTTGGAGTTGATCCCGTTGAACCCTCACCTTGTCTGCCATCCCTCCCTGGCTGTGATGTTAGCTGTGTGCTGACTCCTGGTTTTGTAATACAAAAACTGCTTCACCTTAGGCCTTGCTTCTGCTAATCTCACAATTAATTTCAGTAACCAGAGTTAATCCTGGTTTTAGCTTTGTTGCAGCCTGAAGGACTTCGGAGATATGAAACATTGGGCAGTGAGTGAGGTTTTTTAAAGACATGTTCAAATATAGTTTTTCATACCTGGGCAATCCCAGAAAGACATATAGCTCGTGATAACCTTGGGTGCCAAACATTCTGCTCCACTGACGAAAGCTTCTGATACATCTGAGTGCCACACAGATTCCTTTCAGCCCCTGACAACTACTCTACAGACAAATCATGGAAAGAAGGAGCACTGTCATATCCTCAGCCATTTATTTAAGCTGTGGTTATTGCCTATAGTGCCATTATATTTACACGCATTACATGGCAGGTGACGTATCTGTTTTGCGTAGTATCACTAAGAGAAGGGTTAGGACATCTTGGAGAGATCCAGCAACAAAAGTAAACATTGTGTAAGAATTCAATACCATTATTTAATAAGGAATTCAACATAGTGTATTCAAGTTCATACATTTATACAACTTCTTTTACTGTCAGTTACAAGCGGGAGCGTAAAGTACATCTCCCTTGGGGTGGTTGTCTGTGCATCACTAATGATTACTGCTGTAAGGAGTCATTACATTAAATGTTCAAGTAAGAGAAAGATTTTACAAAGTCAAGCTATGAGATATGAGGAGTTATTTCAAATAAACAACCCAAGTATATCTGCTTCCCTCCAAATGTTATCTTAAACTTTAGTGTTGGGTTTTCTGGCAGAGAAATCATACTTCAGGCAGACTTTGAACATCCAGATGCTATTTTCTTTTTTTTTTTTTTGCTGATCATGACCTTTTCCTGTGGCAGCCTCAAGGAGTTTGAGGAACTGGGTTTTCCTCTGTTATACTGAAGTAACTCTTTTGATTGCTGCAAGGTGAATGCTGACTTACCTGTTACCTTACCTGCTCACATGGATGTGGTGGACTGCCCAAGTGGTCTGTCTGCCACTTCCAATAACGGGGTCATGAACACACTATTCCTAACCCTGCAATTTACCATCATGCAAACAGCTGGAACAAGTTGAAACCAAGCAGAAGACAGTATTGTTACCATATGTATTCCTTATCTTGATTTACTTTCACTGAGTAAGTTTTTAAAGGAGCTTTTAAGAACTCAAGTGCTATCAAGGATTCTAGCCACTTCCAGAAAAAACAAAGACTGCAGGTAGGAAGTTATATTTCAGAACAACATGTTTCAAATGCTGTTTGGTTTCCCCACAGACATTAAAACATGATATATTTTTTCCTGTATTTTTCCCCCAGTCTGAAAGCCAGGATAAAGTGCTACAAGTAAAATTGAAAAGGAAGAGAAGGAATATTCAGGTAAAATTATCTGTAAGCTTTTCTGTTTTGCAGACTGCTTCTTTTAGGATTGAGAGATAATGAAGGCTTGTGGGAAAAAACTTGTTTACTGATTTACTGTCTGATGCGTTCTGTGTCCAAAAATTAGCATAACTTCAGCGCAAATATAGAGATGCTCAGTGGAGACAAGTTGAATACCTTTAGGATCTCTTACATAGGCCTAGATCTATGGATCTAATGAAGAACATATCTGTCAAAGCAGAAGACCATCAGGTTCCATGAAATACACTTCTACCTAAGAGGGAGGTGACACACAATTCCAGAGTCCATATGCAACTTGAAAAATGGGATAAATCTGTATGTCCTTCTGGTAAACCGACAATGTGACTCTACAGACCTTGAAGCCATGTGCCAATTTTGAACTCTCTTTAATGACTCATTCACCAATTTCAGAGGCATCAAGCCTGTCCTAGTGTTAGTGAGAGCAGGACCAGGAGAAAACATTCATGTGGTGCTAACTTGGTCACAAGTTTCCTCTGGCTTGTTAGCTATGGCTTTTTGTGTCATCAGATGTTTGCTCATGAAGTCTCCTTTAACTCCCAATGCCAATGCATATCAAATGGGACAACTCCAGGAGCTTGACACGGGAACAGTGATACATTCAAACAGTTGTCTGCAGTGCCTAGGGAAGAGTTTAGACACTTCAAATCCTGTTTCCTTTGAGATAACCCTGAGTTTTGGAGCTGATGGAGCCAGGACCTCAGCTTTCCTCTGCCCCTCACCCTTCATTCCCTCTAGGCATTACAGTGCACTGGTTTCCAAAGGATTTCTCTGAGGGTACTCACTGCTCTACCTGCAACGAACATGTTATGGTTTAATAAGATGTGGCTGGAGCCTGTACCATCATTCTAGTTTAGGACTGGAATGTCTGCTTTGGAAAGTTGCCATTGCTGAACAAATGCATGCACAGGGCTTTTGGGGACCTTCAGCTCACGGGGTGACTAATGATCCCAACAGGGAGGAGGCCTAATCTTGCTGCAGGTACTTGCTAAGGATGCTGCTATACAAGCCTACAGCATTAAGGACAGATTATGAAAAGCCCCTTTGCTTCCTCAAACAGAATGCATCCAGGTCTTTCCATAGCACTTTTCTGGGAAAGTGGCCCAATGAGTAAGGCAGGAGTTTGGATAGGAGTACCCATACTGCCTGGCTCCAGTTGGTGCTGCTTGCTCCGCCCCCTCCAGCCTGCTCTGCACAGGTTAGTGAGGGAACTCACCCTTGTGCCAGACACTCCAAGTGAAGCCTGCAGCACTTCCAGACATTGTCTGCCAGCAGCTCATGCAGTAAGGTGATTGACCACCCTGTTTTTAGGCTATTCTGAACAGGTACATAGACCAAAGTAGGACACCACCCATTTTCATTGTCTTCCTGCAAATCTGATGTCAGTGGCAAAGTACCACTGGCTTCAACATAAATATCATTTGGTCCACTATAAATAGAAGTGGTGTCAGTTTTAGAAACAGTCAGAAATGCTTCCTTCCATTCTCTGCCAACCTTTATCTCCTATATTTAAGCTATTTTTCCATTCCAGTCACTGTTTTATCTTCTCTTTAATGCCTTTGTACAAAAGCCATTAATCTACTGTATGAAAAACTGTCAAATGCTTCTGGAAAATCAAAATATTCTGCTACCCACTAAATTGCCCTTATCTGTCATGGCAGTGGTATCTTCAAAGGATTCCTGAAGAGTAGTTAAGCATGACACGATCCTCCTGTGCCTCAGCCTGTGCTGGCTTCCTGTACTTCATCTCTTACTACATCTCTTGAAAAGGCTCCCAAGCCTTTTCCCCATAACAGATGTCCAATTCACTAGCCATTGCTTCCCAGATTGTCTTATTTCTATTTTATTTTATTTTCTTAAATAATAGTAATCCTTGCCAATTTCCAGCTTTCACATAGCATTTCCTATCCTTAGACCTTTTACAAATATAACTGCTTGTTTCCCTAATTCCTGCACACACTCCCTCAGACACCATGGGGTCTGTGATACAGGATCATGGTGGATTTCTGCCACTTGGTAAATCCTGGGTTCGCTTCTGGACATAGCTTTCTCTTTTACAGCTGGAAGTCTGATTCCAGACTTGAGCAGGCTCTTTCCTCCAACAGCATTTAAAGTCTGCATTTTCCTGACATCCTTTACTTGTTCTCTTAATCAACAGCTAATGATTGTTTGATTTTTAAAAGAGAATATGCCTTCGGAAACTAAACCCAACTTAAACCATCTGCCTTAAACATTGCTTCAACACTTCTCCTTCCAACCAGAGGGGTGTCTTGGGGACAGGGAGGAGGAATTATTGTCCCATCCCTGGACAATGGGCTGTTGCAGGGAGGTGGAGATAGTAGGTAATTCTGTATCAACCAGAGACATTTCTGTAGATGGCTTGATCTTGCTGCAAGAGGCCATACTGGCTCCTGGGTGCCCAAGGTCAGACTGTGTTTAACTACTGTGTCAAAAAGTCCATCTGGATGAGCGGGAAAGGCATCAGACATTAGAGAACAC